AACTCCCCCCCCCCCCCCCCCCCCCCCCCCCCCCCCCCCCCCCCCCTCATTTTTAACACCTAGATTGAAGCATCCAATGGGTCGTAGGAGTCATCTTGTTAGGGCAGTAAGGGACCCATATTGAATGATGCCTCCAGCAATAGAGTAGCTCCATTAGTTATGCTTGTTTTCTTCTCAATTCCTAATTGTTCTTGGAGATTGCTGGTGGCCAATGGTGTTCCGGTTGCAGCTTTATAGAAGTGAAAGGATTGTCATTTTCCATCCTTATTGAAGCTGCTCAACTTCTCAATGCCCCGCACTCGGTGCAACCGAGTCTAAGCTTTCGGCATGCTCGCTTTCCAGCGAGTAAGGTTGAAAATGGAAGTCCCTGAATCCAAAGGATCAGATACTCGAGTTGCTAACAAAGGTTCCCCCCTGTTTTTTAGTTCTGCAAAGAGGGTCACCATGCCTTAAATGTATTGTTTGTTTGTATATAAGGGTCATTGATATGTCTGCTCAAATGTGATAATAAGACATCAATTATTGTGTTATCTTAACATGTGAGGTAATTTCTTTTTGTTTAGACTGATTTTTTTTCCTCTCATCAAGGCATAGTTTGATGTTGGTACAAGTAAATTGTAAATGCAGAATCATTATAACATTCTGGCCCCTCCCCTTTGAAAGCCGTCTAATCGTTCATTTAATTTTTCAAGTATCGTTTATTTAAAGATGGAGATTTGAACCCTAAACCCTAAACGGTAAGAGAAAAGATAAAATATAATTGATCGAAAAAGAAAAGATAAAAAGATAAGCCATTCCATTTCGACAAAAGATCCACACTCAAGTTCCATAGCTTTGAGTCTGCTATCACGATTATGATTTTCCTACCGCTAGAGAGAAAAGTCTTCTTTTTTTTTTTGCCGGTTGTGGGCAAGGAGGGATTCGAACCCCAACACCAAGGATCATAGTCTTGTGATCTAATTCTCTGGCTTTTCCAAATTAATCTTAATTTTCATCTCATTTTTTTCCTTTTTAGTTATTAATTTATATTTTCTATTATTTGTGGATGGATACTGAACTTTATTTACTCATTGTCAATCTTTTTTACATATATATAAGTGCCACAGTTTGTTTATATCTTGCAACCAATAATTTTCATTTATCATGGATAAGGACAGTATTGCTAACATAATAACCTCTAATTGAGAGGAAAAGTACACACGGGCAACAAGAGCCGAGAAATAAGAAAAAACAATTCACCGTTCCAACCTACTAACGCTGATAAGGTTAAAAGAAACGAGTAGAGAATTTTCGTTTATCATGAGTAAGGACAGTATTGCTAACATAATAACCTCTAATTGAGAGGAAAAGTATACGAGCAACGAGAGCCGAGAAATAAGAAAAAGCAATTCAACTTTCCAACCTACTAACACTGATAAGGTTAAAAGAAACGAGTAGACCCCTCACTAGTTTTCACCACTCAGTGACCAACATCTGAAAAGAAATTTAAGCACAATCTGAAGCAACTTTGTAATAGAACACGAGTACTACTATAGAACAACTTTCCAGTCTACTCATACATATCAAATGGGAGGCTGCTTGGGAACTGGATAGTCTCTGAATATAACAATAGAGCATCCTAACATTACGATCTTTACTGTTAGAAAGTTCATAATAACAAGATTTAATAATATCCACAATTTTACTACTAGTTTTCCCTTGACAAAAATCGACTATAATAAACGAAAATGAAACTAAACGGGGGGATGCACACTCCTAACTTCAGAAGATTATAAGTTCTATGATTCAAAATATGGGGAATTTGTCGCTTTCCTTCGGGTCGAATTCCTTCTTCACTAAGAATACAGAGTAGGGAAAAAAGAACAGTTAAATGAATGCACAATTCTCATGGAAGTATTTGTACTTGCCCAGAGCTAGGATGTGATCGATCAACTCGTAGTTCAGTTTTTATGATGATGGGGTGAAACAAAGCAAACCTCTTCAGCAACAAGAATTTCAATTAGCAACTAGTCTGAATTCATACCAGTTCCGGAGTTGCATCCCCCCTTGGAAACACGAGCAGGCCTCTAAACACTCGCCGATACCAAATATATCTACAAGCTTCTATAATCTATTACAGTGACTTCGTCCTCAGGGGCATCTAGGTCTTGATAACTGCATAATATTCGCTGTTAGTTTATACAGCAAAAGAGAAAACAAAACTTTACAAATAAATCTAGACCAAGAAGCATTGAAGCATGTGTCAGTGAAATTTAAATTCTTCAGACTGCACGGCGTGATGAGGCGTCAGTTGGTTGCTTAATTTCGAAAATCTAGTTATAAAACCCTAAAAGTTTGAAAAGAGTCGAAGATGAAGAACATGGCTTGCAGCAAGGGAATAAAAAAAAAGCTTACAATCCCTCACAACTATAAATATAGATCCCACAATATATCTTCACAATTTTTTATCCACAAGGGTATGAGTATTAGTTTCAAGTTGACTTTTATGAGCTGCATATAGATACTTCAACGTCACAAAAGAGTAGAAAGAACCATATCCAGTCGTTAAAACCTGTAAAGGAGTCATACCTCCGTATTCGACGAGGATCCTGTCGAAAACCTGGAGATAGGGCAAGAATTGGAGCAGATCCACCTAATTGAGGTCCTGGCCTTCCATTTCTACCACCACCCTCAAATGGAGGTGGACCTCCTTGTTCCCGCAACATTCTCATTGCAACTTCAGGTGGAGCAGGGACAAAAGGTCCTAATGGACTGCAATAAAACATAACAGGTAAGATCACTAGGAATGCTGAAGGCACAAAAGAGCTGAGAAGATAAGCCAACATACCCAGCACCAGGAACAGGCATAAGCACAGGTGGTGGCATTTCAGAGGCAAAAGGAGCAACATGCCTTCCTTGTCCACCAAAAGTATCAAACATAGGATCATCAAGGTTTCCACCATCCGAACCATCATTTGCTGATTGGAAATCATTTGATTGTGGATTCTCAGATCTATCAAATCTGTCACCCCCATTCGCCCAATTATCACGGTCCCTGCGATTGCCTCTGTCATCCTTCAGCCGAGCATCTAAATTCATCCTACGTCTCTGTGGCTTATCCTTCTGCATAAGAAAATCACGTCTAGATGGATTAAAAAGAAAATGAAAGGAAATCCATAAAGCAAAATGGATTATATATCTAGTATATTGCTAGACTGCACGTATTTACATTGTCAGTCCAAAAAATGAGAACTTCTACCTACAAACTAGGCATGACAAAAACCTATATGCACCTTAGATTCTCATAAACGAGAAATGACCCATTAGAACAGTATGATGACCAAAACAACAATCACCAACAAAGTGAAATCAACAATATGTTCACCACGTGCTGTGGTGATGAGACATGAAAATTATTGATCCAACAAAGGAAAATTTACAATTCATTGGTATCTTATGTTATCACAGCCAATGCAAACATAATAAAACATACCGGAAGCGATTGTTGCATAACAGGCGTCCCTCCAGGAGCATCTGCATCACTGAAGAATTAAGGTATTAGTAAATGACATCTTCCATCAGTGAGGAAGAAATGCTATCTGAAACTTCACTTACTTCATGTAATTTTGGAAATACAGCTCTTCACGCACTTTTGAAGTCAGCTCCATCACAAGCTCTGGATGTTTCAAGTTAAGATGCTTGTGCACAAACTCAGGAGCATGAAACAGCTTAGTGCAACCCTTGGCTCCACAGCCATACTTCCATCCATATTTCTCATCTCTTATCTTACGAACATATGGATCAAAAGCTTCAAGAGCAGCAGCCTCTATTTTATCCTTGGCAGTCATCGTTTCCAACGGATCTTGACCTCTCAATCTCTCTTGCCAACGCGAATCAAGTTTCTTCTCCCATTCATCTGCACCACCAGCCATGTTAGAGTTCTTTCCCTCTTCTCTTACATGACGAAGACCCTTAGCTTCTCTAGTCTCAACCATTCCATAGTAATCTAAGCCATGGATGCGCCACAGATATGTGAGAAGTGTGTCTAATAGTTCAACACCCTCTAAGCCTTTAACGGTTGTCAACCCTCGTATGATAATGACTGGGCCAGAAGAGCCGCCATGTGCTTTATCCCGACCTAGTTTGTCACTATCAGAACCACATAAAATATTTTCTTCTATTCCTTTCTCAGAATCAAGTTTACGGACAAGAGATTGAGCTTGTTCAATGTCAATTTGGATTCTTCTTGGTTCAGAGCTAACAGGGTGGGCCTTAGGAGCAGCAGAAAGAAGATCCATTTCTTTTGCTGGTCCTCTACCATGACGCCTCCGTTTGCCATCATTGTCTGCTTCATCATCTGAATTTGGTTCACTAGTCTGCCCTGATTTATTTGTAGCTGCTGCATTGATCCCTGGACCTCTGCACCATAGAATAGAACAGCATTGGTTTGTCACCACAGTTGAAATTTTCTGAATCCAAACATAATTGTAGGAAGTCCAATCTTACAATTCCAGTGTTCCACTTTGCAGGTCAATCAAAAAATCCTTAGCAGTTCTTTGTGCAAGTTCATTCCTCCTTAACACACCATCCAAATATTAGAATGAACCATAATAAAAATGTCATTAAAAATATCTAATTGCATGTCCACTAATTTAAAGATGATAAAAATGTGAAGAAATTAACCACAATTATAAGAACTCCATCTTTTGGGGAAGATGATCAGAAAAACACCTTTCAATGACAGTAACTAGGTTGGTAGGATGATATTTGTCTTTCAACCTAAATAGGCAAAAGAGATTAATTAGGGGAAATAGCGAAAGGAAAGGAAATTCAGATTTAAGAGACAATAAGTACCATTCTTCATCCTTATGAGAATCAAAAAAGGATTGTTTCTGTGTTGTAATATACTCAGACTTGTATTCTTGATATCTGAAATCAAAACAAAGTTGTTACACAAAACTAGAAAGAACAAAACTCATATAATTAAATTAAAAAAAACCAAAAAACACATTTAGAAAATACCTGGGCTCAGCTTCTGCAGGCAGTATATCATCCTCAAGCTCTTGAATAAATTGCTTGTATGTCATCAAACCTTCTCTGAAATCACAAGTTATCAACATTGAATTTAAAATAAAGTTAAAAGGATGAAGTTAGATAAAGCAATCCAATAAAATTATGAGGCAAAGCAAGAAATTGAATAAGTACAATCTAGTCATAATACTAAACAGTGCTGGAAATTCGGAGATGCCGAGTTTGATGATACTTCTTGTATAGCCACAAGTTTCAGAACTTTTTCTAATGGTTGGATAACCATCAACACTGAAAGTATGTCACTTTATTCAGTGATGTTATTTAGTTCAATTTCAATACATGTATGGTTCTAGTAACTCCTACTCAACAAATTTTAAGTTCAACCTCCAAATCAAGGGATACATGCAGTTGAATCTGATACTTGCGGCTGCCACATTTTTCAAAAAGATCCATAAGAAAGCAGAGACGATCAGACATCCTCTTAATTAAAAAAAAAAAAAAAAAATGAAGATGACAGAATATTCTCTCAATGGAATTGACGAAATAACTATATTTTCAAATAAATGAACATTCTTTCTTTATGAATAGTAATTTCAATGTACAGAATAACATTTTTACCGAAAATTACACATTTTAATTAGATTTTCCACAACAAAATAAAGGAAATGAGAAATCAAGCCAAAACAACTTTTAAGAATAATGTACACAAAGTTAATAACCTTTACAAATCATCCAATAAGATTTTGACAAGTTTAGGAACAAAAATAAAAAAACTACGAACACTCAATGTTGCACATGAAAAGAGGCAATCAAGAGTACAAGTCCCCAAATAAATCAAGGAATATTTGAAGGGAGGCACATTGAATGAGAATAAAAATCTGATGTAGCAAAAAATCAAGCATCTTCTTGGGGGGCATTATCTAGATATTTTTGAAATTATGTTCTCGACTTGGGTAAGAAAATACCAATTGGATTTCTGCTTTGGGACCTCCTAAGAGTACAATAATATTTAAGTTGCAACTTATTGTCTATAAAGGAAAAGTGTTTCTTGTTTTCTTTAGAAAAAAACCATAACCCAGTACTCAGTAAGATTCTAGCCAATCGGCGAAAGACCAAAATAGTCGAGTAAAAGCCACCCAAATACCAAAATAGTCAAGCATAACCATCCATCACCAAGGAGAAGAAATGACCCATATACATGGCTGCATTTTCAATGATTGCTGCCTTACCAAAATCCAAATAGGTACAACTCTGATATGAAAGGCAGAAAAGGTCTATACAGCACAATCTAGATTTGTGCAAGTTGGGTTTCTTTCAAAAGTCAATTATTTAACATGGAAACAACATAATTAGAAAGGGCATGGGAAAAATGTATAGTTCCTTCCATAAAGCTGCACGAAGGAAATGCCCATCATCTTCCCATTCCAAGAGAATATTCACTTTGGATAGAAATTCAGGATTTTACACTATGTTTTTCATGCCATTGACAATCCACCCTTTGCAGTTCGCAATATTCATTGTTTCTTTATTGCACTGTCATTATAATTCTGTTTTAGACCTACCCTGCTAGCTTGATCATGATTTGCCCATAATATCTCATGTAGCGTAGAAAGTAAATCACAAGTTCAAACAGAAACTAACACAATAAATCAATATAAGCATATTCATAACATTTGTCATCCAGATGTAAGCACTGAATGCTAACCTTTGGCCAGCTCCTGCATTGAGTGGATCACCATGCCCACCACGACTAGAATCCCAATCTGCAGAACACAGCTCTAGGAAAATAAGAAAATCGGTTGCGAATATCTTATCCATAACATTTGTCATCCAGATGTAAGCACTGATTCAAACAAAATATTAACGGCTACCAGAGTAACTGGTAATATTATCCATACAACAAAATGCAAAATTGAGAGCTTGGAAGCAAGAAGATTCTGCTGTTCTAATTCAAAAGCCACAAATAGTAGGTTACGCTAAAAGGCCTCAACATGTGAACTTCCAGATTTATGCTCCACTTCATAGATCTGAATAAACTAAAGACCCCTTATGTACATTTTGGCTCACAAACATAGGAAGCGATAAGAACTGAAAAATCATTGCACGGAAATGTAATAAGAAACAATAAGTTATTCCAGAAGTATACTATTACTAATGGCTCTGAACGTGATACCATAAGGGGCATAAGGATAATATCACATTTAGACAAAAGGGAACAAGACTAAGGCATTCAATAATCTCTCTTTAATAATTAAATTAGAGTCTCGCATAATCCTGCACCAGAAAAGAAAATGAGAAAAGCTCCTCTCTATAAATTGGCTATAAATTAGCTATAAATTAGCTAAAAGGTCTGACATTGGCCAAAGACATGGTTTCAAACACTGTACAATACCTCATTTTCCAAACCAATGAATATTTTTGCATATGCAACAAAGAAGGTGAAATTCTCAAAATTTCCCATTGGCCTAATTAAAATTCAAGTAGTTCATGTTCTATAATAATCATCTCAAAAAATGAACTAGACTAAGAATGTATAAGTCTAAACTCTAATCATGATAAGGCTGAGTTTATTTTATCAGGTCACAGAAACACCACCTTGATAGCCACCAGATGAACGACCAATGTACCGACCAAGAGACCTTTCATCAACATATCCAGGCCGGCCTCGCAGTTCGCGCTCATATCCCCCACCATAATCATAACCAAACCTTGGAATAAGATAAAATAGATAGATAAATACATATATCAATACTTAAATGACAACCTAGGCATTAGTCAACAAAACATAAAACAGAAACACTATCGCCCACTAAAGCACATTAGTCACTTCAAAAAAAAAAGGGAGCACAAATAGAAGGATGAAAAATGACCAAGGAGAATCATACAAGTGAAGCAGAGGTGTCCATTGTAATAGAAAGTACAACTGAGCCCATTACGACAAAGGTCACGCTCTTACATTCAGGACAGGGTTAGGGGGTGAAGAGATAATGGACATTGAGAAAATAAAAGACTAGTGAAGAAACATGTCTGATTATTGGGACAATCAAGAGAAAAATAGAAGACCTACAACAACTTTGTCCAACAAGCAGAACAAAAAAATAATATGGGATGAACATTATTCCTCTACGAAATGGTTCATCCCATAACTACATTTGTATATTTAATGGGTTGAACCATTATATATCAAGATGGGATGAACGATCTTATCTCGAATGAAATGGGAAGAACCATTGTATCTAAAAAGCTGTGTGTAAAACATTATTCGTCTCGTATGTAAGGTACTAGTTGAGTTCAAACTTTATGTTGAAAATGGCTTCCAGCATCAGTTAATGGTTGAAACATATAACCTTAGGAGTATTTAGTGGCAATGCCAAGTTTGAAGGACCTAACTATGGAAGAATAAAAATTCCATAGTCCACAATTAAGAAGATTTCTTTTTTTTCATTTAGATGAAAATTGGCTCTAATCTGTGAATGCCATATAAATTTCAAATGCACAGAATTCATCACCAAATCACAAGAACAAGAATTAAGCTCGACAAATCAAAACAGTTTCCCACCCACTCACCTCCTATCGCCAGGCCCGAAACCTCCTCTAGGGCTTCCCTTTCTTCCATCATACCCACCCCCATCATCTCTCCGGGAACGCTTGAAAGGTGGCGGAGACCGTCTAGGAGGCGAGTGTCTACGATCCCTGTAAGGCGGTGGGGGACTAAGACTGTTCCGCCGTTTATAATCCCTATCTCTGTCTCTATCCCTATCCCTCGGAGGCAGCGTAGGCGGAGAGCGATTACGATCGTAATTATCGTTGCGTCGGTTCGGAGGACGATCAACATCCCGGTCGTCTCTCCTATCTCTCTCATCTCTATCCCTTCTTCTGGAAGGAGGAGGAGGAGCAGCAGCAGCCAACTGCGGCGGAGGCGAGGAATGAGGTTGCTCCTCAGACGATTTCTCTTGTTGATCACGACGGCGGTCCAACGACTCGTCGGCGGTATCGGCGGCGGCCATGATTTTACACAGCAATTGAAGAAGAAGAAGAAGAAGAAGAAACGAAACCCTAAAATGAACCCAAAGCGTCGGAGAATTGAAGTCGAGAAAGTCCGGAGTTTCGTTCACTGATCTGACAAACGTGTGGGATTAATCCCATGCGGCAGCCCCTACGTTTATTTGTGGTCTTTTACATTTTATGACGTGGCGTGTTATGATTGGATATATGTACCACGTAAGCATCCTCGTTGGCCTGCGTGGGACAGGGTCATTTTCGGCATTTTATCATACTTTGCCCTGCTTTTCTTTATCGATCCTTGTCTCCTCTGGAACGTTAGAGCGGAATATAGATATGTTCTTTTACCAAAATACCCCTCCTGGCCTATCCAACAAATATGTATTGGTCGATTTTCTATCGTCCTCAATTTATTTCAAATTTTTTTAATTAACTAGATTAATAAAAATATTATAATTAATTTCAAAACTCATATAAAAATAAAATGTAAGAACGTTATAATAAAAAATAAAAAAATTACTTACGGAACTATACACAAATTTTAAAGATTATAAATGTATTTTTCATACATTTTTTAAATTGAACAATTATTAGGAAAATAAAATCACTCGTTTTCTAGATGATAAATAACCTCTTATCTATCTACCCAACTCCGATTACCCAATATAATAGCTCAACCTCACCTCTAATAGATATTGTTCTTGGCCCTTTACATGTCACCATCCGTCTCGTTGTTTTAAAACGCGTCTACTAGAAATAGGTTTTCACACTTGTACAAGGAAAATTTCGCTCCCATCTCACAATCCATATCTCTTAGGGCCCTACATCCTTGTTTGCACACTGCCCCGTGCATGACTCAAATATCGTTTGTAACCGTTCAAGCTCGCCGCTGACATATATTATCTATTTTGCTCTATTACATATCGTCATCAACCTTATTGTTTTAAAAGCGTATACTAGAAAGAGGTTTCCACATCCTTACAATGAATATTTCGTTCCCCTTTCTAACCAATGTGGGATCTCACATCCACGATCATATTGATTGAAATCTCGTGATACTTATGTTAAAAATAAATAACAAAAAAATTGAATAAATGTTAAAAAAAAAAATATTATAAAATTGATATAATTGGATAAAAAATGAAATCTTGTTGGCCCTTCAATTTAAAGGGTATAAGGACATAACAGACATTTCGCCCTCTCCGGACACAAAAGAGTTAGATTTAAGAATTGGGCCTGGCCCGTTTCGTGAGAATGAGGCCCAATTGGTAGAACAACCCGTGGTAGCTCTATATATTCTTGGAATTAGGGTTTTTGGTTGTAGTTGAACAATCTCGGCGCGTTGAGCAGCAGCAGCTTCTGATCTTCCATCATGGTTGCCGCAAAGAAGACGGTGAGTTTCTTCTTTCATTTCCGGTGATTTTTGGTGTTCTTTCTTACATTTTCGATCTGGAGTATGCTGATATTCTTTTGATTGTGAAACCGACAACAGAAGAAGACCCATGAAAGCATCAACAACAGACTCGCTCTCGTCATGAAGAGTGGAAAATATACCTTGGGATACAAAACCGTCCTCAAGACCTTGAGGAACTCTAAAGGTAATCTATTGATTATGTTTTTCACTTTGTGTTATTGATCTGCTCTCTGAACTTTGCCTCTATGTATGCTCGTTCATTGATAAGCCTGTTTATTAGGTGATTTTTTCATTATTGATATTTGGTTGATTTTTCAGTTGACTAATTGTGTTTTAGTTGGTTCTAGTTTTCGCTGGAATTACTGAAATTTTCGAATCGAAGTCTGATGTTTAGTATAAAATCATGAAAATGTTGTATGCCGTCGATCTGAAACCTTGTTTCTTACAGTTTTCAAGGCACTATCAGATATTTTTATTACTATTCTTCTAGTCTTAATCCAACACTCAGTAGTTGATTTAGTTTACTAATTTTTGTTACCTATTAATTAAAACTACTATGTTGCCGTCTTTCCCTTAAGCAGTGAAGAGGTCCGTAGTGTCTGATTTGTTTGTTGTCCATGTGCTCTCTTATATCGAGTTTTTATGCATTTGAGGTTATGTCTGATTATTTTGTTGGATTTTCAGGTAAGCTTATCATCATTGCCAACAACTGCCCTCCACTCCGAAAGTCTGAGATCGAATATTATGCGATGTTGGCAAAGGTTGGAGTTCACCATTACAATGGAAGTAAGTTTCTAACCTTTCTTTTAAAATTAAGGATTTGGCCCTTTTTGGTACTACATTTTAATTTATTTGGCATTTAGAATAAGAACATGTATCCACCTGCATCTGGAGATTAGTGAAAGATCAAATTTTGTTTTTTGGTTGTGAAATTGTTAATATCGAGCTAGAATTTTTGGATTACTTGATGGCCTTTATTCATAATAATCTAAGCAATTGCTCCCTGTCGTGATTATGTCAATACTTTTGATCCTTCAGAGGCCAAGACTTAGGCTTCAAACAACAAACCTTGTCGATGGGTAGAGACCCCCCCCCCCCCCCCCCCCCCCCC